TCATATTTGATTGACAGCTTTGCTGGGTAGAGGATTCTTGGTTGGTAGTTTTTTTCTTTCAGGGTTTTATATATGTCTCCCCCTTGCCTTCTTGCTTGCATGGTTTCTGTTGAGAGAGCTGAGCTTAATCTTATTTGCTTGCCTTTGTATGTTACACTTCTGTTTTCCCTAGCTGCTTTCAGGATTCTGTCCTTATCTTTAATTTTGGAGAGCTTGATTATTATATGTCTTGATGTTTTTCTTTTAGGGTCTATCCTTCCTGGGGTTCGTTGAACTTCTTGGATGCTCTTCTTTTCCCTTTTCAGGATGTTAGGGAAATTTTCTTCCAACATCTCTTCAACTATCTTCTCTGTGGACTCATGTGATTCTTCCTGTTATGGAATGCCGATAATTCTTAAGTTTTACCTCTTCATGTTGTCCAATATGAATCTTAGACCATTTTCAGATTTTTTAATCTTTTTTCTGTTTGTTCTTCTATCTTAGTGGTATTGAGAGATTTATCTTCCAGCTCACTAGTTTTGGCTTCCATCTCTTAAATTCTAGTCCTTTGCCCTTTCAATGTATTGTCCATTTCTGATGATATTCTATTATTAACCATTTGGACCTCTTTCTGTAGGTTTTGAATTGTTTCCAGTGCTAAGTCTGTGTTACTTGATTGTTCCTGTAGTGCTTTCCAGACTTCTTCCTTATTTTTCTCAATCCCATTGTATAGTGTTTTGATACATTTTGTAATCATTTTCCTGAATTCCTTTTCAAGCATTTCCAAAATCTGCCCTCCTTCCAGTATGGAGTGTTGGTCTACTTCAAGCTCATTTGTTTCAGTCACTTTATCTCGTTTCTGGACATTTGCTGATACAGTCATCTGTTTCTGTTTTTTGGGCATATTCAGTAGTTAGCTGTGGCTTTAATACTTAATTGAGTGTGTGTTTTGGTATTTTTTATGCTTTCTGATTGCCTCCGGGTAGATGTGATCAGGAGATGGGCTTCCCTTTTCACTCTTCTTCCTGAGAAATTTCAAGATGCCACTGCTGGTCGTTATGACGTAACTGAGTATTTAATTTTCAGCCTTTTTCCTTTTTAGTCTGCCTGTCCCACTCCACAACCCCCATTCAGGCCTGTTGCCTAGTGATAAATAGTTCAAGGCCAGCTGTGGCCATTTTGTGCTGCCATTTGGTGTTAAGTGGAAACTGTCCCTTTAAATTTTGAGGAGATCTGTGTGTATGCGTAGTAGAACCCTTTGGGGGTTGAGGGTGTTTCCACTTGCTCAGGCACCCCCTCTAGTCACCAGACTGGAGGTGCACAGACAGCCAGACACCAATGAACAGATACCAAAAAAAAAGTATGTCCACACCTTTATCTCTGCGGTTCTGTCAGGTGTCTGTGGCTGCTCTAATCCTTCCCCTGGTTGGTCTCTTCCAAGATGGCTGCTTATGGAGCCTCCAAGCACCTTGGATTAGAAAGCAATGGAGTTCTTGCTTCTGCTACAAATTCCACTGGCTGGAAGCCTTCCAACTTTCTAAATATTCCTTTATATGTGGTTCAGAGTTCTGGGACCATCCCCTGAACCTACTTGGTCCGTTATTCTGTGTTGTTGCAGACGGAGCTGCTCACTGTACTTCTACCAAATCCACCATCTTGTTTGTTTTCCTCAGATTTTACATTCTTTAAAAGGAATACTTCTTTCAAAGAATTTAGAAATGAGTACCCATAAATCACAACCTCTTACCTCCATCAACCTCATTTCTTTTTAGTTTTTTCTAATGCTAATTTAAGAGGTGTTGTTCAGTGCCTTGGAATCAGTTTAAATTCATAGCAGCTTTGTAGGTTTCTGAGGAGCAGCTGTGGGTTTGAACCGCCAATCTTGTGGTTAACACTTCAGTGTTTATAGTCCATGGAACCTTTAAAAAAAGAAGGACATGGAATCTAGAATTGGATTGCCTGGGTTTAAACCTGGTTTTTCCTCTTTGTGACCTGAAGTGGATGATTTTTACCATTTTATGCTTCTTTCTAAGGAGTTCTGATAGCATGGTGTTTATGAATTGGGCTGCTAACCTCAAGGTCAGCAGTTTGAAACTACCAGCTGTTCACGGGAGAAAGATGAGGTTTTCTGCTCCCGTAAAGATTTATAGCCTCGCTAGACCCAGAGAGGGAGAGGGTCTGTGTGCTGATGACTGAGGGGCAGGTTTGCGGGGTGTACCCTTTGTGATTGGTTGATGATGCATGGAGGCGATTATAACCATGGCAGTGAAATGATATACAATAGGATGAATGTAAAGCTAGTGTTCTCTCATGTAAGCTATCACATAATTCACAATAAAACATTTAAAATAATTTTTAAAAAAATGTTAACTAACAGCAAGCTAGACTCCAGCATGTCTATTCCTAATAGAATGTATTCATTCAACAGACCATAAAGTCTACAAGGGCATTAAAAAAGAGAGAGAGAGAAAGAGATTTACAGCCTCGGAAACCTGTATAGGGTCACTGTGAGTCAGAATCGACTCCGTGGCCCACCACCACCACCATGCTTCTTTCCACATCTGTAAAAATGGGTTGTTATGTGGATTAATACAATGATATATAGTGTAAAGTTAGTATGACTGCATGTTAGCTATTATTACTGTTGTTGGTATTGTTGATGCCACCCACCCATGTTGCTGACCTTCAGATGTTATAGGGTGCTTCCTACCTAGTTTGTATGCTTTCTGATGAGACACTGACAGGATAGAACTCAGCATGCTAAGGAGGTTGCTAATGAGGTCCCCCAAGGTATTCCTCCTAGAGTCAGGCCTCACAAATGAGATAGAGTGAGAAAAGATGGGGGTGTTCACTGACTCCCACCCCCCCCACTGAATAAATCAGCACACCCTCCCTCACCTCCCCAGGCATGGATATGCTGAAGAGGACACCTCTTTGTTCAGTACTTGGCAGAAAAAAGGGTAGACCAGAGAAAAGAAACACAATTAATTAAGGAATCCTTAGTTTACTTTTAGTTTTGCCCACTCCCTGACCCTGGCCCCTTCCTCATCCCTTAGCACCTTTAGCTCTTGCCACATATGGCTGAGTCAATAAAGGGCTAAAAACCTCTTTAGGACCTTTTCGGGCCTGTTCAACTGAACCCATTCTGTATTGACCTTTTACTGGCAGATGAAAAGCAGATGGCCTCCTCCACCTGGCTTTGCTCAGCTTGTGGCATCAAACACTGTAACTCTTCCAAAGAAGGGAGATGGGGGACAGGGATAGGACTATGAGCGTAGTTCAGCAGGCTTTCCTATCCTATTAGAGAGGAGCTCCATCCTTTTTTTTCTATTCTGTATGACAGAGCAAGGGAGCAGTTTGTGCTGGGAGAGCCCCATGGGAGGAAAGTATCTTGAATAGAAAGCCACTTGGTATTGCCACTCAGTCCCATTGGCATGGTTTAACTTTAAGGGATTAGAGGGCAGAGGCCTATTGTGGGTAAGGTTGGGAGCCTCATCCTCTGCTTGCTGACTGCTCATAAACCTTAACTTCTCACAGTGTTACCGAGACCTGGCTCTGGTGAGTCGTGATGGAATGAATATTGTCTTGAATAAAATCAACCAGATTCTCATGGAGAAGTACCTGAAATTACAGGATACTTGTCGTACTCAGGTAAGGCCAGAAAGAAAAGAGAAAACCCAGCTCAAAGACATATGGAGGATGGACCCTTTTTTGTAGGAGGAAGGGAAAAAGGAAACTGGTACCTCACCCTACCATTGTGCACTCCAATTTATAATGGGATTGAAGTAGCCCTATTCTCAATTGTGCAGCCCCTGCTCTTCAGCCATCTTTTCCTCTCTCCTTTAGTTGGTGTGGTTGGTACGGGAACTAGTGAAGAGTGGGGTTCTGGGAGCCGATGGTGTTTGCATGACATTCATGAAGCAGATTGCAGGTGAGTTGATGGCAGGAGTGTAAAGAAGAAAGGAGAGAAGCCCAGAGGCTGACTCCAGGCAGTAGAGAATGATTAAGTGCCTGAGAGACTTGATTCCTGGGTTGTTTAGGCTTTTTTCCTTTGACGCAGATAAATCTTTTGGCCACATATATTGCAGGAAGAAATTGATTGAAATTGCAGGAGCCTTTGAAGCCAATAAGCCTTGCGTTGTGTTCCTTCTTGCCGAATCTAGGGCCTGGCATAGACTATTTGATCTGTTTTAGTTAGTCCTCCTCACTCCGGTTTTGTGACATACTGGATTAGGGAGGGGGAGAAAAATGAAGGCAAATAGTTTGTTCCTGTGTTCATTATACTTTCAGAAACCCAGACGTCTTCTCTGGCTCCACCCCCTATATTCTAAACACTTGAGCTCTCATTATTATGACACCTAATTGGGTCCAGTGTGAGGGACAAACTGTGTCATAGAACAGAGCATGACATTTAGGTTTTGTTACTGTCTTAGCATCGATAACATCTCTCTGAGCCACCATAAATCTAAGAAGCCGCCTATACTAACTACCTTTTCTGCCCCCAAGATTGTATGCCTTTGTTTAAAAATGAGCCTGCCTCTCTTCACCATTTACCTATTGTTGCTTTGCTTTCTCTGTAGAATTGATACACACTGATGCTCCTGATTTGTTGTGTATGAACCTTAAATCTGTGATACCTGTCTATGTGAATGTTGGCTTTTTAAATTGGGACCTGGGACAAGGCACAGCATTGTTGTGCTTGCTCCTCTTATCTTTTCTCCTGGCACTTTGTTCACTGCTTTGCACTCCCTGTCCTCACCTCTCCTCCCAAGACTCAGTCTGGCTTTGTTGCATGTAAATTCTGCTCCAGAAAGTCCAGTAGTAAGCATTGAAAATGATGGCACCTGAAAATAGGCCGTCCTTGGCCTGCCATGAACCTGAGCACAGGACTTGGGACTTATTGATGCTGGACTGCTATTGTTACCATTCACCTGCACCTCTCAGGCCCTATCTGAGAAGCCATCCTTTCTTTCAACCTTGGGCTTCTTGTGTCTCCTTCCCAGACATTCCTTTCAAAGGTCAAAGTGTTCCCATTCCAACCCCCTAGTTTGTTGAACAGTAGCCTCTCTGATCTTTTGAAAAGTCCATTCATTACCTTTCCTTCTCCTCTCTGGGGGCAGAAGGCAGTTTACTCATGCACTCAGGAGTAGCAGTGGTTCTGCAGGATGAGTAAAGAGAAGTATTGGAATAGTTGGATTGTTAATCAGAGCCATTCTGATTCTCTTTTTTTTTTTTTTCCTCCTTTTAAATCAGGTGGGGATGTTACAGCCAAAAATATCTGGTTGGCAGAGAGTGTTCTGGATATCCTGACGGAACAGAGGTAGAGTCCATCATGAAGGGTGGGGCAAGAGCCAGAAACCACCATGAGGGATGTGAGTGTGGAAATGGGGGTAAAAGGATGTTAAGAAGATAGTCATGGCTCAAGATTACTTTAAGTTAGAGACAGGGAGGGGATTGGCAAGTGAAGAATTAATGCCATGGTATGGCCTTAGAAATGAAGGAGTGGGAAAGAAGGTCTTTGCTAAAATATCTCAGAACCCAGGAAAAACTGGTTTCATCTGATAAGGGTTTATTTTTGATTCAGACTTCCTTGGAATGTTTCTCTTTTGGGGGAGGGAAGGAATGAGCTCAGTATTGTGGGACCAGCCAACAACTCAGGCCTGGCAGGTACCCCTTTCTCCATTCTAAGTCTCTCAAGCTGACCCATGCACTCCTTTAGAAGTGGCAACTAGTAGGTGGGAGTGAAGAGGTCATGGAGACAGGTGAACTCTGCTCGGGTTTTCATGTAGCGAGCCATGGTGACACAGTGGTTAAATGTGTGACTACTAACCACGAGGTCAGCGGTTTGAATCCACCAGCCACTCTACAGAAGAAAGATGTGGCTATCTGCTGCTGTAGAAAATACAGCCTTGAATACCCTATGAGGGCAATTCTACTCGGTCCTAGAGGGTCACTATGAAGTGGAATTGACTTGACAGCAATGGGTTTGGTTTGAGTTTAGAGTCTGCATCTAGGTTTAACTTAAAGGCTCCAGTGATAGAGAGCGTAAACTGACTTTCTAGATGATTCTTTTCCCTTTCCCATCAAAGTACTGGACCAGAAATTTTATGAGCTGCTCCATATCCATACTTGCTTAGGAGTGAGACCTTCCCATTTGTCCTGTGGTGTGAGTTCTCCTATTTCTTGGTTTCAGAGTCTTATTTCTAGATGGAAACACCATAGTAGTCAAATGATTGAGGGGGCTAATAGTATCCATGGGAGTTCTAGTATGGCACTATGGGATAAGCACTGGACTGCTAACCAAAAAGTCAGCAGTTCAAACCACCAACAATTACTTGGAAACCTTATACAGGATTGCTATGAGTTGGAATCAACTCGTCGACACTTGACCATAACTGTCGTTGTTGCTAGGTGCCACCAAGTCGGTTCTGACCTGTAGTGACCCTGTGTGCAACAGAACGAAACACTGCCCAGTCCTGTGCTATCCTCACAATTGCTATTACACTTCAGCCCATTGTCGCTGCCTCTGTGTCAATCCATCTCTTTAGGAACCACCCTCTTTTTCTCTGTTATTCCACTTTACCAAATATGATGTCTTTCTCCACTTCCTGATAATATGTTCGAAGTCTGAGAGATGGAGTCTGTATTTTCTACTAGTTAAAAGAAGCAACCTCTTCCAGTTATTCAGGGCTAACATCCGCCCTGCCCAAGCCTGCGATGTACGCCAGGACTGCTGTACAGTGCCACCTAGTGCTTTGGGCATGGATGTGCAACTGAAGCTGGGACTCCAGGCACGTCTTCTGTTAAGGATACCTCCACACTAGCACTCTCTGACCAGAACTCTGCTTCTCTTAGGTCTCTGAGCCTTTCTGCTGCCTTTGAATGAGAGAATTTCGCCTTCATCTTGCTCATTCTCTTCATTATCACATGTCCCAGGATTCAGATAGGTTCATTACTTCTGCTAGCAGCCTTCTTAAAATACATTTCTCAGCCTGTACCTGGTGCCATATACCTCCTGTTCCCATACCACAAATCTAAATTTCCCTCATTTGGGCAATTAGAGCACAGTCTAGTGTGTAAGAGTCAAATAGCTGCCAGATGAACTGCCCTACCTATTCCCCCACCCTCCAAATAGTAACTACTTAGACTTTTAAAACTGTGTCCTTTCCCACCCCTCCCAAGTGTTTCTAGGGCTGTGGAGTTAGAAGGTAGCAGGAACCAGCTGGGCCTCTCCTCGCTGTCCTTGACTTGTGCTTTTATTCTGTGAGAGGAAAAGGCCAAAGCTACCTAATTAGGTAGCTTGAGCACTTTTCCGGACTCAGGATGTTGCCTGGTTGAATTAATTAAATTCCCTGTCGTCTTCCTCCTGTTCTCTGCCTTTCTAGCAGGGGTGCCAAAACTGTTACAGACAACCTGCTTGGGAACTCTCCTACTTGACCTCTCCTACCCCATGTAAGGCAGCAGGAAAGAAACAATTCTTTCCTTACTGCAGCCGCTCCCCAGAACATTCTACAACTCCTGCCATCCATAATCAAGATCTTTTCCGTTTGTGACTTAGAGCAGGACTTCATTGTTTTGGGTGGGATCAGTGGCTAGAGAGAAGATTGGGGAAAGGTTTATGGCATGGTGGGCCACTCTTGACAGTGATGGAGGGACTGCACAGTGTGTCCTAAGAACCCCAGGAGTCTCAGACCGTACTTTGAGAACCAGTGACTCATCTCTGTTCCTAGCACCTCACACAGTGCTGGTTACATGATACGCACTCAGTACATAGGTTGAACGAGTCAACAAAACAAATTATTTTATAGGAAGCCAAGTACTAAATGGTAAGCAGAGATGGTTTTCACTCAGCACTTATCTTTATTGGTCACTTTATTAGGAACTTGCCCTACCTTAGCTGGTTGATAGTCCAAGGTAGATAATGACAGCATGTGTGAGGACTCAGGAACCAAAGAACCTGTCCCAGTGTCAAGTCATCAGACAATGCTGAGGCACTGGAGCCATGTCCAGGGAAGATGAGCTGGGAGTGACTAGGTCCAAACAGGCTACAGGTGCCAGTGTCTTCCCTCCCTTCAGGGAATGGGTACTAAAGAGCAGCATCCTCATCGCCATGGCTGTTTACACCTACCTTCGCCTCATCGTGGACCACCATGGGACTGCCCAGCTCCAGGCCCTGCGGCAGAAGGAGGTGGACTTCTGCATCTCACTGCTTCGGGAACGGGTGAGGGATTAGGACAGAAATAGTGTGGGGAGGTGAGACCCAGGAGGGACCTGTAGGTGATCTGGCCTGGAGAAGGAGGTGGTTTGGGATATGGCTCTTTTTTCCATCATCTTTAGAAAGATGAGAGTCAAAGGGAAGAATCAGTGTAGGGTTGTACTGGTCTGTAGAAATGCTGCTGTCATCCTGGGGGTTTTCCTGTTAACACAGACACAGGCTGTCCTGTGCATCCATGCCATCCCATCACCTTCCCACCTGGGTAATTACCACAGTCAGTGACCACTATCCAGATCTCCCAGGAGAGAGATCTAAGAGCTGTGCTATGTCTAATATAGTAGCCACTAACCACAAATGGCTATTTAAATGAAAGTTAAATTTAAAAATTTAGTTTCTTAGTTGCTTTAGCCACATTTAAAGTGCTCATTAGCCACATGTGGCTTAGTGGCTACCACACTGGACCACACAAATGCAAATCATTTTCATGACCACAGACAGTTCTATTGAGCAGAGTGAGTTTTGAGGTAGGGTGCTTAGGGCTAAGTTTGCTAGTCCCATCCTCATGGAATCTTAATCTTCCTTGACCTAGATAAAAACAGGTTTGGGTGGGGAGGGGAATAGAGTAATGTGAAAGCCAGTGGGGCTCCAGCAGATTCAATAACCTCTTTTCCTTGATTATCAGTCCTTAGCTTCAGTTTCTCTCTTCCCCCTTTGACCCTTTTTCCTTCCCTCCCAAAACATATTGTTCTTTTGTCCTTCCTTTAGCAGGTAAACAATCCATGTTTTTATTCTCTTTCCTGTTTGCCCTTTTCCTCCTCCTCCCCATCAAGTTCATGGAATGTTTGATGATTGGCCGGGACCTCGTAAGACTACTTCAGAATGTTGCTAGGATACCAGAATTTGAACTTCTTTGGAAAGACATTATCCATAACCCTCAGGCTTTGAGTCCCCAGTTCACAGGTAAGTAAGGACCAAGGCATCCTGTTTTAAGAGGTGGGAAGTCAGTATCTGTGTACTACTTAAATCAGGAGGGCAAAGGAGAGTCAGATGTATTGGAAGATTGGGACAGGCAGGCTCTACTAAGTATAGCTGAATGTAGGAATGACAGAGGTAAAGAACAGTTGGTTCCTAGATAGCCCTTACTTAGCCGACTACATTACTCCTAAGAAAGAAGTGAGGCAGAAAATTGTGATCTTCCTCCCTCCTGCAGCTCCTTGGCTCAGGAGGTGAGCTCATGGCCTGTTTCCAGCTTCTTAGAGCCCAGCAGGGGAGTCAGAGGTCAGCTCTTGAGACTGAGTCAGCAGAGGGGCTGGAATTAGTCCTCTAAGAGAAGGCTCCTCCCTGGAAGCCGCCGTGCATCTGATTCCGAAGATACAGCTTTGCTAAATAAACACTTTTTTGAGGGAGGGAAAGAGGCTCTGTGTGTCTTCCCTGGCAAGGTTCTTCTCCTGTCCTCACTTCTTTCCCAGGACCCTGTTTATAGTCTGAACAATAACTCTGCAGTCTTGCTCCCCATTCCAGTTCTCACACATATGTGCACACTTCATAACATACACCTCATACACACACAAACTGAAAAGGGTAGTCCAGGAAAGAAGAGAAGAAGAAAGTCCTGGTACTACCCAAAGCAGCCCTTATATTGACACTATTGAGTAGTTTTGAGTGCCTCCTGTGTGCCAGACACACATATTTTAACTCATTTAATCTTCAGGACAATCCTGTAACCTGGGTATTGCTTTGCACATTGTACAGATAAGGAGACTGAGGTTCAAAGAGAATAAGTATAATATTTCCAAGGCCACACAGCTAAGTAAGTGTCAGAGGCAGGATTTGGGCCCAGGTTTTTCTGACTTAAAAACCTATGCTTATGCCATACCACACTGATCCCAGGACCTCGAGGGGTTAGGATTTTCCATATTTCTTCCTTAACTTTTCCACATGTTACCAACTAGAATAATGTGAGTAAGGAACTCTGAAAGGCAGCAGGACAGGGAAATTAATATAGCTGGGTCTTGTGGGGGATGGTGGTTTTGGGAAAAGAACACAGACACTGGTTAGAACCCCTTACTTGACCTTCCTTGGTCTTATCTTAGAATTTCCTAAGGAACAAGACCATGGCTATCATTACCTGGTCCAGGTTCCTTACCTGCCTTCTTTCCCTCATGCTTCTCTCTCTTTCCTTCTACACTTGGTTTAGGTATCTTGCAACTTCTACAATCAAGAACATCCCGAAAATTCCTAGCATGTCGTCTAACCCCAGATATGGAGACTAAGCTCCTCTTCATGACTTCCCGGGTAAGCTGACCTGTTGCAGCAGGAAGAGAAATCGTGGTGCTAGCCGGGCTGCTGCTACTGAGCACTTGTCAGTGGAGTGGTGGCCTAGTGGACTTCCCTGATCATCTTTCCTTTGCATTTACTTCTCCACATCTCTTATTATTCCTGCTTGGTGCCAGGAGAGACATGGGGAGACAAGGTTTACAGAGAGACAACACCTACCCCTGTGACGTTTTCAGTCTAAGATAGTCTTAAGTCAATAACTGTATACAAATAATATGTGACATGCGCTACAGGAGGCAAAAAGGGGGGGGGGGAATTGAGAGTGTGCATTCTGGGAAACCTAGGGTTCCTCTGGGTGAACCAGGAGCTCTCGGGACAAAAGGAATCACAGTGTTGTGGCTTTTTGGTTTCCAAACATGGCTGAGTTATAGCCAATTTGCTTGGAGAGCATATTTAAAAATGTAAGTTCCTGGATCCCACTCTTCAGAGAATTAGCCTGTGGAATCTGTTGTTTTTCAGACTACTCAGGTAATTCCTCTATAACCTGTCTATCATTAAAGAACCTCCAGGCAAGCCAGCTTGTGGTTTTCTAAGTCATCCAGTGACGTTCTCTGCATTTATGCTGTGCCTTATGGGCGTCACTGACCACCTGTGGCGATTTGTTGTTGTTAAGTGCCATCGAGTTGGTTCTGATACAGATTAGTTAAAATGAAAAATTTATTTCCTCAGTTGCAGTACCTGTGTTTCAGTAGTCGCTGTCATTGCAGAAAGTTCTATTAGACAGTGTTAATCTAGATTGATTGATTAAACTTTTGGTTCTTTGTTTTACTTGATTTCTTCTCACAGATAGGGAATAGGAGAGAAGAAAGACAGATCCTCTCCCTTATTTTGTGCTGCTATTTGTAACCATTTACAGTCTGTTGGGGGGAAGGACTTGTTGCAAGAAAGTTGGAGAGTCTGCACATCTTAGATAATGGCCCATTAGGTCATTCAGCACCAGGACACGTTTAGTCAATGTTGAGCAGTGGATAGACTTGGCTCTGGTTCTTGATGAACATTCTCTTGCTAGTCAGTGGCTCAGGAAAATAAGAGAGATTATGCATATGACTGGAGAATCAGTGACCAACCAGTACAGGAATAAGGAGCCAGAAGATGACTGCAGTTACAGTTAGGGTTAGATGGAACTTAAGGTTGATGGTAGGAACGAGTGCAGTGTTGACATATGAAGCCACTTGGGATCATGAAACAAAATATATAAGAATTGTTGAACAGAAAACCAATATGCTTATAAACTTAAATCACAGTAAAATGTTAAAATAAAATACAGTAGAATTAACTTGGGAATCTTCCTAAAGGAAATGAAACCTGAGAGACAGGATAGTAAATGACTAGATTATTGCAGTCTAGATCAGACCCAGGGGTTGACGGTCCTCATTTTCCTCTCCTAGAACTCCACTCTCCCTTCAAGTTTCTTTTTTCTACTTCCATTAACCTCAGGTGCGGTTTGGTCAACAAAAGCGATACCAAGATTGGTTCCAGCGCCAGTACTTGTCAACCCCAGACAGTCAGTCTCTGCGTTGTGACCTCATTCGCTACATCTGTGGGGTTGTTCACCCATCTAATGAAGTGCTGAGTTCAGATATATTGCCCCGGTGGGCCATCATTGGCTGGCTCCTGACAACATGCACGGTGAGGGGCTGGGACACAGGGTAGATGTTGGGTGGTGAAAGGTTGCCCCCTGCATCATGTTCACCATATTCCCAGGCTTCTTCCTGACTCTGAGGAGCCATCTGACCCCCCAGAGATCCTTCTTTCACTCTACTCCTCTTGAATGTCTCAGCCTCCTTGCCCCAGCTCCCTTTGTGTCTGTAGTGATTTACCTGTGCTCAGAACTTTCCACCTTGGTTTGGCGTTGAACACATTCATCTGCACCCTTACTGCCTGGATTTCTGAGGCGCCCTCTGGTCTTTTTCCGTTTCGCTTCCAGATACCACATATGACTATCCTCTGAATTGATGATCCTTTATCAAATTAAGGATTTGGGTTCTTTAGACACTCACCTCCATGTCTTTCTGGCATCATCTTTGGACATTGTCCTTCTGCAAACATAGTGAATCCACACTGTGGAGCCATTTCCTTCCCAGTCTTTCCCTGTACTCTGGGTGGGAAACTATACTTCCATCTAACTGCCTCTCACATGGTTCTTCCTCCTCTGCCATCTGACTGGGTGCTTGAAATGTGCTGACTGTATCTAAGGGGGACACCTCTTCAGGAATGTGCCTGAGGATTCTAGTGAGGGGAGTCCAGGAGTAGTCACAGGGCTCCTGAGCCCCCAGTGTTCCCCCTTGGAGCAGGATTATACTCTGCTGGTGTATGAAGAACCTAGGTTGATCTCCCATTCCCTGGATTGGTGAAACCACAGGGTCTTCCTGTGTCATACAGATTTGGGTTACCCTCACCCCTGATGGAATTCCACTCTCTTTCACTAGGAACTGCCTTGGCCTCTGGAATTTGTCTTGGGCCTCTGAAGGGAAGGGGCTGGTTGATGAAACTAGCTCTTTTTCCCTTCTTGCTTGTCTTCCAGTCAAATGTTGCTGCCTCTAATGCCAAGCTGGCTTTGTTTTACGACTGGCTGTTCTTTAGCCCAGAAAAGGATAGCATTATGAACATAGGTATGTGACCCAGACCAGGCAGCACTACTTCCCCATCCCCCAATCCCTGCTGTCTGGTCTTAGTGATAGCAGTCATCAATCTCAGTACTGCGTGGAGTGGAGGCAGCTTATCTGGGTGCAGTTCCCTTGTTCCTCATTGGTTCTCCCTTGACCTAGAAAGAAAATTTCTTTGATGTGACCTAGTCATCACTCCACCCCTTCTCCCCACAACTTATGTCGGGTGGGAAGGGCCTAGGCAGAGGAAGAAGCTGTATCATGTCCTGTTTTTCTTCTACTACTATCTCCCCCTCCAAACTGAATGCTGGGGGTGCAAGAGATTTTGGGCTAACAGAACTGTTTTAGGGTTGTGGATCTGTTAGTGTGAGTGTGGGGGATAGATAATGGCACTCTTCAGAGCCATTTATATATATTTGTATCCTATTTTGTGGAGATGGGAATGGACTGTCTGATGTGGGGGGACCCTTTAATTCCACATTCTCCAGAGCCAGCCATCCTGGTCATGCATCACTCCATGAAGCCCCACCCAGCCATCACTGCCACACTCCTGGACTTCATGTGCCGTGTAAGTGCCAAGGCCCTCTTTTCTTCACATTCCTGAAATAATAGAATCAAGTGTTATCTCCCCTCTCATCTTGGAGTCCTGGTGTGATGCTCTAGGATCAGCACTGGAATGCTAACCACAGGTTGATGGTTTAAACCCACCAGCTGCTCCTCGGAAATCCTGTACAGAGTCACTGTGAGTCAGAACCGACTCCACAGCATTTAACAGCAACGACACCTTTCACCTTATCTCCCAGTGATGGGTCCATCCCACTGCTCTCTGATGATGAAAGCAGAAGTGGTGATAGGCCCTGTCCCCCAAGTTAGTGAGCACTTCTTTCCTGTTCCCAGTCCCCAGTGGGATTGTTCCATGGAGTATTTCAACCTCAGGAATTTTGACTCAGGCAGTCTTGAGAAACCCAGTCCAGCAGGAGCTTCCCGTTACAGTTGGCTTGGAAGAGTCAGGAAGGAACACCCCAGTTCTCTATGCAGCCATACTCCCCAGCAACCGGAGTCAAGACTGAAGTGCCATTTTAGACCTAGTCCAGCAGAACACTGGATGGAGAGTCTGTGCTCACCTTTTCTCCCTTTCTGCCCTTACAGATCATCCCTAACTTCTATCCACCATTGGAAGGTCATGTGCGGCAGGGTGTCTTTTCCTCCCTCAACCACATTGTGGAGAAACGGGTCTTAGCGTAAGAAATTTGTGTGTATGTTGGGGCAGGGAAGGGGGATGGGGATGTAAGAGAAGGGGAATTGTGGCTTCCTATTTTTCTTACGATCCAGACCTCTGTAGGCCGGATACTACCATACCACTGCTGACCTTTTCCCTTGAGAGGTACGGGCTCTTCCTCCTCAGACTACTAGGTTAGGGATGTGTCCTTCTGACTCTTAGATGCATTTATCTCTTGCCATCAGACCTACAAAGGGCTTCAGATGTCTTCCCTGTCTTCTGTTCACCCCTCCCAAGTATCTTACAACTATGGCCCATCCTCTCCCTCTATACTGGTTGGGCCAAGACCTTTCTCTAATTGCATGTTGAGTTAGGAATGAGTTCTGATGTTGACTTTCATTCATGGTCCTTATTAGGCACTTGGCTCCCCTGTTTGATAACCCTAAATTGGATAAGGAGCTGCGGGCAATGCTGAGAGAGAAGTTTCCTGAGTTCTGCAGTTCACCCTCCCCACCTGTGGAAGGTATGGTGGCACCATCTGCTTCAAAAGAGGAGTGGTAGCACTGGGGCTCCCAGACCAGAGCCCCCATCAGGATTTCTGTGTGACATTGTTCACCTCAGTGTTTGCTTTTCCAGTTCCCTTAATTCTTCTTTGTCCCATTTTCCTTGGTTCTCCATCTACTCTTATCTGACTTTCTGCTCATCTTTCTTGCTTTCTTGATGCTTACTTATTCTTATTAACCTCGTCTCAGGAGATAGAAGGCTCCCATAGAATGTGTGCTTTCCCCTTTTCTTTTTTTCTTCCTAGCACTAGGTCCTGGCCCCACGTGAGAGGTTGTCATATTGGGTTTCAAATCTTGCTCCCAATTCCAAACACGCTGCCAGCCTCCCTCACCTACCCCTACCGTACACACATTTTTGTTTTGGGATAAGGGCTCAGCCTGGTGGAGCTCTTCAATTTGGTTTTAAAGTAAAAGAGCACTTTGGGACTGCCCCTGGCTTTACTCACTAATTCAGAGCTGAGCATAGAGGAATCGAGTTTTAGGCTGTTCTTATCCCTGGCAACCCCCTCCCCCTGCAATTCCTGGAAGGTTGTGAGAGCAGGGTGTTTGTCCTTCCAGAGTCAGTATTCCATTGAGGTCATGAGCTCATTTTCCCACTTGACCTCCAGTCTCCCATTCCCAGAAACATAGGGGAACATTGGAGGACACAGGAGCCTTTGCTTGTAATGCCTTGTTTTTCTTTACTCCCAAGTCAAAATTGAAGAGCCTGTTTCCATGGAGATGGATAACCACATGTCAGACAAGGATGAGAGTTGCTACGATAATGCAGAGGCAGCCTTTAGTGACGATGAGGAGGATCTCAACAGCAAAGGTGAGGCCAGCAGCAAAGGAACAGCTCAGGGCTGTGTCCACCCCTAGAGGACCACTTCATAGGAACACGTATTCTATAGTCTCCCCATCACCTTTGCCCCTGTGAGTTAAAGCCTTGTTAGGAGGCTCACTGGCTGAGGCTCCAGAGTGCAGAGCCCTGCACTTGGCACTGGAGACAGGAAGCTAGAAGGAACGTGGTTTCTGCCTCTCTTTGCTTATCAGATCTGGGGCCTGGGCACCTTCAAGGACAGGCTTCAGGCACTTGAAATGCACTGAGCAATCAAGTGTATACTGAAGGCATGTAGGGAAGGGGAGAGGTTGTTCAGGGGGGACATTCTCTGTGACTGGTGTCAGGGTAGACTGACTCTTTTCCTAAATGCCTCTTTTCAGGAAAGAAGAGAGAGTTTCGCTTCCACCCAATCAAGGAAACTGTCGTGGAAGAGCCCGTTGATATCACCCCTTACCTTGACCAGTTGGATGAGTCTCTAAGGGACAAAGTTCTCCAACTACAGAAGGGGAGGTGGGTGCAGACCCTGCTGTCAACCCTGAGGAGCCCTCCACTAAGCTGTTTACCTGGTGCTAGTGGGTGTGGCATGTTGATGGGGGCTAGGGAGAAATATGGTAGGGGATGTATGGAATGGTGATTGCAGCTTTGCAAGAGATGTATGGTGCAGTTCAGGTTGAGGCATCATGGACTGAAAGTGGGAGAGCCTAACTCCCCAACATCCTGGATTCTCTAGAGAGTCTTGGGAGAAGAGCCTTTGAGAACCAAAGCAGAGCTGATGGGTATTTCCCCTTTGGGCCTCTACCCAGACAGCAGCAAATTTGGCCCTAACGCCTCCCCTACGCAAGCCCAGATTTCACAAAGAGCGCCTTTGTTTTGTCCCTGTGCATGTGAGTGTGCTAGTGCACACTGTTCTGGGTGTGTGTCCTGCCATGTGCTATCTATCATTTATGTCCCTGGGATTTCCTCTCATTTGTGTACTGCAGTGATACAGAGGCCCAGTGTGAGGTCATGCAGGAAATCGTGGACCAGGTCCTGGAGGTGAGGAGGAACCCAATCCCTTAGGGAGGAAACAGCCTAGCTTTGAGCTTCCCACGCAGATGTCTCCCAGGGAGACTGACGCCCACCTTTCCCTTCCCTAGAGGAGTCCCTTGTGATGGGTAGAGGGAGGTGTTAGATTCTGGAGGTAGAAGTAGATATGCTCAGAGGCTCTGCTTCTCAGTGCTGATCTCTCCTCTCTTGTCTCACACCCAGGAAGATTTTGACTCGGAGCAGCTCTCTGTCCTTGCCTCCTGTCTACAGGAGCTTTTCAAGGCCCATTTCCGAGGGGAGGTCTTGCCTGAGGAGGTCACCGAAGAGTAAGGTTTATCTTTCCTGGTCTCAGGGAGCTACAAGTGTGTCCTTGGAGCTAGATTAAGGACTCCTGGTGTGGCACTGTAGACTCATCACTGAACTGCGAACCACAGGGTTGGCAGTTGAAACTCACCAGCTGCTCCTTGGAAACCCTGCATAGGGTCACTATGAGTCGAAACCGACTCAACAGCACTTAACAACAACAATGGACTTAAAAGCAATTGTTCTCTTGATGTTTTTATTCTCACATTCATGTAACAAGGAATTATTGCTTGCTGCATGCTATGTTTACTAGGGCAGTGAACTAGTATCCCCTGCCGGTACTTCCAACCCTAGCTGCCAGGCCCAGTAACTCTAGACCATGATGGTTCAGGTGGGATTGGACTCTGGCCTGGACTCTCTCCCTGAAGGGCAAGATACTCACCTTCAATGATGATGATGACAACATCAGAGTGTAGTTCCATGTTTTCTCTGTTACCAAGCCTCTGGAGCAGCAGGAAGTTTGGCTTTGTTTAGGAAGAGCTGCTGGTCCTCCACACTGTCTCTCTCTTATGCACTCTGATATAGAACCCTCCTCTTGTAGGTCACTGGAGGAATCTGTGGGGAAGCCTCTCTACCTAATATTTAGGTACGTATCCTGCTGTAGGAGAGCCTGCTCTACCGTAATTCATCCTCCCTAACAGCACACACATGACTCCTGCCGTGGGGCAGTAAGACTCCTTTTCTGCGAAAAACGCAATAGTATGCTTTGAGCACAAGCAGCCCAGGCCACCTCAGAAGCTCCATAGGGGAGAGTCTGCTATGGGTAAAACTCTACTCCTGTCCTCTCTTCCACGCCTACCTCCAGGAACCTGTGCCAGATGCAGGAAGACAACAGCAGCTTCTCCCTTCTTTTGGATCTTCTTTCTGAGTTATATCAAAAGCAGCCCAAGATTGGGTACCATCTGCTGTACTACCTGAGGGCCAGGTGGGTATGAAGGTGTCAGGAAGCATCCTGGATAACCTTCCCCTTAGTATGCCCCAACTCCCCTACTTTTGACTGTTATCACCAGGGCCTTCTTTCTGTGGGTTCTTTTGTTTTTATTTTTTAAATAATAGCTTTATTGAACTAAATTCACTTTTAGTGTAAAATTCAGTGGCTTTTAGTATATCAACAAAGTTGTACAACTATCACCACTACCTTAGAACATTGTCCTCTCCCTAAAAAGAAGCCTGGTAGCCGTTAGCAGTCATCCATTTTCTCTCCCACCCAGTCGTCCTCTTTCCCTCTGTGGTTTTCCCTACTCGGACATTTCATGTAGATGGAATCACAGGTGCGATGGTTTGTGACTGGCTTCTTACACTAAGTATGAGTATGTTTTCAAGGTTCATCCACTGATGAATAGCATAGTACTTCATTTCTTTTTGAAAACCAAGCAACATTGCATTGTTTGACTATATCACATTTGGTTTACTCATCTTCAGTAGATGGTCATTTGAATTGTTCCCACTTTTTGGCTGTGGTGAATATTGCTCTGAAAATTTGTGTACAGATTTTTATGTGGACCTATATTTTCAATTGTCTTGGTTATATACCTAGCTAGAAGTGGAATTGCTGGGCCACACATTAACTCTATATTTATCTTTGTGAGGAAGTACCAAACTGTTTTTCAATGTGGCTGCAGCCATTTTTACATCCCCAAGAGCAATGGACGAGGGTTCTAATTTCTCCACATCCTCACCAACATGTGTGAGAATTTTCTATCTTTTTTATTCTAGCCATCCTAATGCGTTTTAAGTGGTATCTGCTTATGGTTTCAATTTGCAGTTCCCTGATGACTAATGATAAGCACCTTGCTTTTATAGGCCTTTTGTAGATCCTCTTTGAAGAAATGTCTCTTCAAATTCTTTTCTCTTTTTTAATTGGGCTGTCCTATTGCTGAGTTTTAAGATTTTATATATTCTAGATAAGGTCCCTTATCAAATATGTGATTTGCAAATATTTTCTCCCATTCTGTGGGCTGTCTTTTTTACTTCCTTTAATAAGTGTTATTTGAAACACAAAAGCTTTTAACTTTGATGTTCATTTGATCTGTTTTATCTTTGGTCACTTGTACTTTTGATATCCAAGAAACCATTGTCTAACCCAAGGTCATAAAAGTTTACTCCTATATTTACTTATAAAAGCGTTATAGTTTAGGTTATACATTTAGAAGATCTGTGATCCATCATGAGTTAAGTTTTACATGTATTAGGTAGAGGTCTTCATATGTTATTGCCCACGTGGCTCAGAGTCCAGAAAGCAAGGGAATGTGAGGGAAGAAAGCTGTTTTCTCTTGCCTGGCCTGGCCCTCCCTATCCTGATAAATTGAGCAACAGGGGAGAGATTAGCACAGGCCATGTAGGTAGGGCAGGTGAAGGAATTCCAGAGTGGGAACACTAAGCCAAGGCCTGCATAGGGCTGGGTGCTGGCTCAGACTCAACCTGGTCTTACAGCAAAGCTGCTGCCGGGAAGATGAACCTGTATGAGTCATTTGCCCAGGCCACCCAACTGGGTGACTTGCACACCTGCCTGATGATGGACATGAAGGCCTGCCAGGAGGATGATGTGCGACTGCTGTGCCACCTTACACCCTCCATCTATACAGAGGTTTGGTGCCCCCACTCATGGTCACGCTGGGGAGGTGGGGCAGCAGTGCAGTGAGGGGTCGTAGAACCACACACAACCCTCACCCCATCTTTACCTCTTCTTCCACCACTCTTTATTGGAGTTGGAAATTTTTGTACAGTCCACAGAATGCATAGCCTTTAGTGTAACTGGCTTCCTAACTGGAATCAGCAGGTGGTGTGAGTCAGGGTCTGGACCTGTACATTTGGCGTCTTAGTTTTGGCCCCATCATCTGGATCCATGTTCATAAATACCTCTAGCCATTCTGCCCTCTGATGGTCACCCTTGGATTGTCTCAAATGATTCTCAAAGACCAGGGTTTCAGTAGTGAAGGCTCAGCTTTCATTTCCCCTTGCTCTCTCACAGTCTTCCTTAGAACTGGAGCATAGAAGGAGATCTCTAGCAATTCCTTCTCTTTGTGAAAGTTCCCAAAACAGGGAAATCAGAGCATGGGATGTGGGCATGACAAGAGGAACCGTGACCCCAGTCAAGAGCCAGAGGGAGGGAAGGGATCCAGATGCCAAGTAGATGGCAATTTCTTCCCTCCACTCCCTCCCTAGTGAACTGACCTCTCCAGAGGGGTCCTGTCTCCCTCACACACCACCAAACGCACATACACTCTGCATCTTCTCCTCCTTGGCTAGGCAGTCAGTATAGATTGATGTCTTTGCTGCCAAAGCCGCAAATGTTGATTCTGTTATAAGTTCCGCTCAGAACTAGTATCATGTGCAGTCCTTTCAGATCTAGCTTTCTCTCTATAGATAGTTCTCCGTTCCTTTCCATACACACATGCTTCAAATAACAAAACTTAAGTGCCTTCAAGGGTCAGACTCTCAGCTTCATGGCTCTTTTGAGTTCTGTTTAGGGATTTATATTAGCTGGCGGACCCAGCTTGCCTTTTGTTGTTAGGTACCATAGAGTTGGCTCTGATTCATAGCAACCCTATGCACAACAGAACAAAAATAAAAAACTGCCCAGTCCTGAACCATCCTCCTAATTGTTAGGTTTGAACCGTGCCTTGAGCAGGTACTACAGAAGAGGAGTAGGTTATGAGGTGAAACTAAGGATCCAGCCTGGGCACTTGCCCTAGTCTCCCTCTTTTTCTACCCAGTTTCCAGATGAGACCTTGAGAAGCGGGGAGCTGCTGAACATGATCGTGGCTGTGATAGATTCTGCACAGGTGACCCTCAGACTGACAGCTCCGGACCAGGGAAATCAGGGCCTGGCTCTCTCTACAGGCACTCTGCTCCCAAGCTAGATTTGCTGCACTTAGGTGGTGGGTGCTGGAGAAAGCAAAGTAGGACCCAAGAGAAACTGGCTGGGGTCAGGCCTGTCCTGTTCATAGTCCTTTTGTTGTCTGTATTCTTTGTGAAATCCTGTCACCATGGGGAAAACTCCAGGATTTGACGATCTTTAGCTCTCCTCTGGTCTTCCTCTTGGCTGAGAATGAAAATGATCAGAGCATATTTACTTGACTTATGCTTGCACCCATTGACTGTCCCATCTCTATTCCTCAGCCACTCAGTTTCACATACATAAAAGAGGAAGCTTATCACTCAAGAATTCTTTTCCTTTGCCCTTCTCCTCCCCACACCTATAACCAGGACCTGGTCTCCTGTGGGTCAACCATAGACTAGTGTGGGTCAGAGGCCCAGACTAAGGTCAGATGGAGAAGTTATCCATTCTTCTAATAGCAGGCTCGGGGGTGGGTTCCTAGAGCTAATACTTGCTCAGCCCTGTTGCTCCTTTACCAGCTCCTTCATCCCTCAGAGACCCCAATGTCCCTTATGTGCCATTTCCTCTCCTTCTACACCAGGCTTGCCACTTTCTTCTGCTTCTCCCTCTATACCTGGCCTCCTTTAGAGCTAATGGGCTCTTTCTTCCTTCTCCTCAGCTCCAGGAGCTAGTCTGCCATGTGATGATGGGGAACCTGGTTATGTTCCGAAAAGACTCCGTTCTCAACATACTCAGTAAGTGACAAAGCCTCCCAGGTTCCCTGCGAAAGGGGTGCGGGGAGAGAGAGTGAGAGAGTGAGTGTCTTTTTCTAGCATCAGAAAAGCTGGGCTGGGCTGAGGCATTAGGGGATAGACCAGTCACTCCACCCTTCTGTGTGGTCTTGGGCAGTGTCTTTCTGAATCTGTTTCTTGCTTTATAAAATGGAAAGATTTAAGCTTACCCCTGCAGCCTTGGTGCTGGTGGGAGTACAAAAGTGGTGTAAGGGCTTTGGCAATAAACTATGTGTGAATGCTAGAGGATCTATAGTTTTAGGGTTACTGTTCTACCCCTGTTCCATCTCTGCTTAAGGTGCTAGTAGTGAGTGGATTAGCCATGTGCATCTGTTGGAAACAGATGTTCTCTGTTCTCTCCAGTCCAGAGCCTGGACTGGGAAACCTTTGAGCAATACTGTGCCTGGCAGCTCTTCCTGGCCCACAACATCCCTCTGGAGACCATCATCCCTATCCTGCAGCACCTCAAATATAAGGGTGAGTAGGATTGTGGGTAGGCATCATGGGGGAGGCTGGACTCAGAGCAGCTAGAACCACTGCTCCCTCCCCTTCCCACCCAAGTGCCAGAAGGCAGGCCTCCTCCTGCAAGCCAGGCCCTGGGCTCTGCTCAGGGCTCTGAGATTTTGTAAGAGTGGAATCAGGAATCTCCCTGGCTCCTCAGGGAAGACGGGTGGGGGATGGGAGTGGTGCCCAGGTTTCTTCTGGGCTCATGCCATCCTCTGAGCAGCCTCTGCTTCTGCTCTTCCCCTCCACAGAGCACCCTGAGGCCCTTTCCTGCCTACTGCTTCAGCTCCGAAGAGAGAAGTGAGTGCCATCCTGAGTGGGGCGGGGTGGGGTGGGGGGTGGGCGACACTCTAGCCCTCCATTTCAATGTGCCAGAGAGGCTATAGTGAAAGGGTTCTGTCCTGCTCCCGATCGTGTTTTCTCCTGCCCGCCCCCAAAGTTGACTCACAGATACGCAGCTCCCATGGGGTTAGGCTTCCTCTGACTTTACCCCCCTGCCCACCAGGAGCTGCCCTCAGAGGTGGGGACCGGATATCCTTGTTTCCTGCTGCCCCTGCAGTTCTAATCACTGCTGGCTCCTGCTCCCCCTCCTCCATGCTTCTGTAATCAAAGAGCAGGAGCAGGAGGGGTTAGAGCAAAGGGAGCCACCATCCCCTCTGGACCTGCCCAGAGCAGAGCCCCTGAACCACTGTGTTCCTCCCAACGGTGGGGCCTCTCTGCCATCATAGGCACTTTGCCAACACCCACTAGATCAGTGGGGCAACGCTGGGTGCTTTTCCTTCCTTCCTTCCAACCTTTTCTCTTCTCTCACCTGAGATACTAGAAATGGTAGTATCTTAAAGGAATTGGGACAGTGGAGTACTGTGTGGGGGCCCAAGGCTGCACAGCCCTCTCCTGCACCTTCCTTGGGCTGGATGCCAAGTTGGCCCACAACTCTGACAGTGTCATGCATGGAGGAGTATACACAACATCACCTGCTTGTCCTTTTCCATCTCTGGCCCCTCTTCTGACTATTTTATTGGGGTGGGGTGGGAGAGCCTTGGTGGGTCACCTTCATAACACACACACACACGTGCACACATGCATATGACCATCTTATACTAACGCGGAAACTGAAGACTCTCACTTCGATTTCCTGACTTTCCCCCTTGAATGAAACCGTGCATTCCTCCACCCTAGGAGACGGAGAGGGATGTGAGAGTTGGAAGCGACAGAGACTCTGGGGAGTCTGGGTTGGGAAGCCACTACTTGGTTGCTTAGGCAGCTGTGTGACATGATGCCTGCCACCCGCTCACACCCCCAGGCCCAGTGAGGAAATGGTGAAGATGGTGCTGAGCCGACCCTGCCACCCTGACGACCAGTTCACCACCAGCATCCTGCGGCACTGGTGCATGAAGCACGATGAGCTTCTGGCTGAGCACATCAAGTCCCTGCTCATCAAGAACAACAGCCTCCCTCGCAAGAGGCAAAGGTGTGACATGGCCCCTGTGGGGGTCCTCCAGGCCAGGCTGCCCAGCACTTCCTGCCCACTGTCACAGGCCATCCCCAGGGCAGTCTTCAGTAACTATCTCTGGCTATGGCACCTTGCCCAGCACAGCTTAGCCTGGTTTGTGGCGACATCTAGTGGTGTGACCTTTCCCCTGGAGGAAAGTTCTAGTGCTCAGATGGCCAGGGTTCCATTTGTAAGCACATCTCTCACCTCAGCTAGGCAGGGAGGTGGGTACAAGGTTCCTGGAGCCTCACTTCACATTCTGACTCTGGCCCACTGCCCCCCACTTGCAGCCTGAGGAGCTCCAGCAGTAAGCTGGCCCAGCTGACCCTGGAGCAGATTCTGGAGCACTTGGATAATCTGCGTCTCAACCTGACCAACACCAAGCAGAACTGTATGCTTCCCACCCGTCCCTGAGGAAGGGGCCAGGAGGGCAGGGGTAGACCCTACACCCATTCAGAAAAAACAACTTTTGATTGCCATTTAATGAACTCTAAGACATCTGATTGCTCTTTCTTGCCTGCCTGCCCCCATCCTTCTCCTTCTAGTTTTCAGCCAAACTCCAATTCTCCAGGCTCTGCAGCATGTTCAGGCCAGCTGTGACGAAGCCCACAAGATGAAGTGAGGCGCCTTGCACCCTTGGCCAGGGGAGTGGTGGGGAGGAGGCCAGCTGGAGAGATAGGAATTTAATGTCTAGCAAAACACTGGCATTGAAGAGAAAGACCCAGATCTGGGGCCAGAAAAAAGTGTGGGCAAATGAACCTAAGACCAATATGCCCCTCACGCTAAGAGTTCTTTCTCCCCTCAGATTCAGTGACCTTTTCTCACTGGCTGAAGAATATGAGGACTCTTCTACCAAGCCACCCAAGAGCCGGAGAAAAGCAGCTCTGTCCAGTCCACGAAGTCGAAAGAATGCCACACAGCCCCCCAATGCTGAGGAAGAGTCAGGCTCCAGCAGTGCCTCGGTGCGGGCCTCAGCTAGAACCTAGGAGGAGACTGAGCGCTGGGTGCAGGTGGGGTTGAGACCAGCCACTGCCCAGACCAGTCATTTTGTCCTCCTCTCTCCTGTTCTTTTCCAGGAAGAGGAAGACACAAAACCGAAACCTACCAAGCGGAAACGGAAGGGGTCCTCTGCAGTGGGTTCTGACAGTGATTGAGCCTGTGGTCCTTTCCACCCCTACTTGGACTGTCCTCCTTTCACTGGTGAATCAAGGTTAATGGGGCTAGGGAGACCAAAGGAGGACATTCCCTCTCTCTATCCCAAAACTTACCCTGTGGGAAGGATGCACTTCCTCAAGTCCAGCCTAAGAAGCTGCCATGCAGGCCCCCAGCCCCTCCTCCCACCTCTCCTGAGGGGTCCCCAGCTGAATTATACTGCCTCTCCCACCCAATATTTGGGTTCCCACTGAGGCCAGAGATTGTGCAAAACTGTGACTGCTGTGGATGTCCTGAGCCCCTCCCTTCAGAACTGTTTCAGCAGAGAAGAAAAATGAGAAAGAGGGCAGCTGGCCAGAGAAGCTCGGATAAGAGAGACTCCATGTGAGGGGACCCCTTCCCACTTCCCCCTTGGTCCTGATTTGCTCTGAACAGACATTTTATAGTCACTCTCCATAACCAGTGTGAAATGGATATCCAGCTTGTGACATGTCTTACCCTAGAGCACATGCTGCAAGTGCTCAAGAAGGAACCTGAGAGGGAGGTGTGCTCTGCCAGCTTGGCACCTTCAGCTGGGCTGGAGACCCAGGGAGTCCAGAGGCAAGTTGCACAGAACTGTCTAATGGTCCCATTTCTTTGGGGATTTTTGCCTTTTTTTTTTTTTTTGCCAGAGGTAATAGCGTTTTAAAAAAAGTTGTTTTTAAATGACAATAAAACAAGCCAGAACCTCTTTTGTGCCAGAGTTGCTGCCTCCATCTACCCCGTGCATGTACAGAGGGGGTTCGGGTGTATATGGTACCCTACTTGTGGCCTTGTGACATCCTTTTCCCTCCCTGCCCCTGTCCCCGCCCCCACCCCATTTATTGTCTAGAGCAGGAGGGACTGACAGGGAGGTGTCCCCATCCTCCCACCACTCCTGGTGGTGTGGACAGGGATGCCAGCGCCTTCTCTCTTTCTCCAGAACTTAGAGACTTTCACAAGCTAATCTTCCTAGAAGCCACTCTCATTTACTGCCTGTAGTTAGAAGGAACTGCTTGAATGTTCAGAAGTCAGGCCTGGGACAGAAGTGTGCCAAATGGAGACAGTCCAACCACCAGGAAGGAAGGCCCCTTTTCCTTCCAGTCAGGCACTTGCTGGTTCACGTGCACCAGGAGGCTCCTTGGCTAGACTGTTGTTCCCTTGCTGCTCTGGGAGGCCCGCTGCGGGGGATGAGGGGGCTAACTGCAGACTGGTCTGCAAATTTCTTTTACATTACAGAATCCAAGTTATCCCTTCCCTCAAAGCTGCTCATTTGAAAATCTCAACCGCTGGAGGCCTCCACTTTTTTCTTCCTTTCTCCTTACCCAGTTTCCTCGGCCCCAATTATAACCAGGATGGAAAGCGTTTGCTGGCTGGCCCCTATTATTGTACCCTTGCCCAAAGGGAGGGGCCTACGCCGCCATGACCTCCCCAGAAATCTGGCGGTCTGGGCCTCCACCTTTCCCCTACTTAGCTCTTGGGACCCCACCCACCCCCTGGGGTTGCTGCTGCTGGTAGCTTAGGGGAGGGCATAGGTCTGGCCACCATGTTAGGACTTGCCATACCCTCTTTTGGGTACTTGCCCATCAAAAGTAAAAATTGGAAAGATTAGGAAAAGACCAGACTGGGATCCAGTCGCCCAGGCTTCAGACCTGGGCTCAAAATCCAGCCAGATGCTTAAACCCTGGCCAAGCGGGGAAAGAATGTTAAAAGGCAGAGACACGACCCTGGATTGAAGGAACGCGGGAGCACCTCCCCAGACCTGGTAGGGTGCGGCCCACGAGTAGTCGAGAGAGAGCGTGCCTAGGGCGGAGCATAGGTCGTGGGGAAGGCGGAGAGATTGGAAGGCCCCACACACAGACACTGCTTTCGGGCCTTTGCTCTCCGCCCCGTGGGGAGTAGGGGGAGGCTGGGTGGGAAGGGGCGTGTGCCAGCGCACGCGCGCTCCCGGAAAGGAGAGGTTTTAGAGCAAGAACGAGAGGCCCCAGTTTTTCGGGAAGAAATATCTGGGGTGTTTACGAAGAAGCTGGAGCCAGACGGTGGCGAGTCGGAGAGAGGGTACCATGGCCGCTCTCCTGCTGCCCCTCCTTCTGTTGCTGCCGCTGCTCTTGCTGAAGCTGCACCTCTGGCCACAGCTGCGCTGGCTCGCAGCAGATCTGGCCTTCACCGTCCGCGCCCTCCGCTGCAAACGAGCTCTCCGAGCCCGCGCCTTGGCCGCAGCTGCCGCCGACCCAAAAAGTCCCGACGGGGGCTGCAGCCTTGCTTGGCGTCTGGCGCAGCTGGCCCGGGAGCGCCCTGCACACACCTTTCTCATTCACGGCGCAAGGCGCTTCAGCTATGCGGAGGCGGAATGCGATAGTAACCGGGTGGCGCGCGCCTTTTTGCGCGCGCGGGGCTGGGACGGAGGACCCGGCAGTGGTGGTGGTGGCACTGAGCGTGCCAGGGAAGGCGAACGGCAGGCGCAGGGAACAGGAGACGCGGCCGGAAGCCGAGCGGCGCTGGCTGAGTGTGAAGGAGATGCTACAGCCAGAGTTGGAGAAGTCGCAGCCCCTCTGGAGCCCGGGGCAACAGTGGCGTTGCTCCTCCCCTCTAGCCCAGAGTTCCTATGGCTCTGGTTCGGTCTGGCCAAGGCTGGCCTATGCACTGCCTTTGTGCCCACCGCCCTGCGCCGGGGCCCCCTCCTGCACTGCCTCCGCAGCTGCGGCGCGCGCGCGCTGGTGCTGGCGCCAGGTAAGCTGTAGCACTCGACTGAGTGGGGCGGGACCAGCCTCTGAGAGGGACGGGTCTGGGGAGGGGGCTCCCAAATGGTTCTGGATGGAAGGAAGGGGAACTTATCACCCTGGGGTGCAGAAATGAGTTTCTAGGTTAGTGAAGGGATAGGACTGGGGCTGTGTTTCCCTCCCCCCCCACCCCCCCAGTTAATTGGACTCCTGATCCCAGAACAGTGATGGGTTTGGCCATGCTCTTCACCCTCATACAAGAGCAGTACCAGGAAATAGACTCAGGGATAGGGGAGACTTCTGGGTAGTGGTCGAGCTGCGGAGCTGTGTTTGCCACCCGATGCAGAGTTCCTGGAGTCCTTGGAACCTGATCTGCCTGCTCTAAGAGCCATGGGGCTCCGCCTGTGGGCTGCAGGCCCTGGAAAATTGCCTGCTGGAATCAGTGATTTACTGGCTGCTGCCTCAGCTGAAGTGGATGGGCCAGTTCCTGGGTACCTATCGGCCCCTCAGAGCATAATGGACACCTGCCTGTACATCTTCACCTCTGGCACCACAGGTGAGGACTAGACACCCTCATGTTTACCTCCCAGAAACTAATAACGCAGAGGAAGACCAGGGTCTGTGACTCCTACTCCCAGGTCACGCCTCCACAACCCCCAGAACTAATGTCCTGTGGCCACATTCCCCCCTTTTTCTCCAACCCTCTCACCTTCTTCACTTCACCTCCCCAAAGCTGCCCACATTTCCAGGACAGCCTTGCTTTTTTCCTCGTTGGCTTCTGCTCCTGCCTCTGCAGCTTTCTGTGGGAAAGAGGGAGGTAGGGCCTGGAGCTTAGACCCTCCCCTAACACCAGCCACCCTACAGGTCTCCCCAAGGCTGCTCGCATCAGTCATCTGAAGATCCTGCAGTGCCAGGGCTTCTACCATCTGTGTGGTGTTCACCAGGAGGATATCATCTACCTGGCCCTCCCACTCTACCACATGTCTGGCTCCCTGCTAGGCATTGTGGGCTGCCTGGGCATCGGTGAGTCTCCCCTGTGTCCCCCACCCCACCCTATGCCCATACAGCCCTCCAAGCAAACATGTATTCATGTGCTGACCTGGGCATGTTTCCTGAGCCCTTCAGGGTAGAGAAGCCAGAGGAAGGAGGAGGCAGAGCCCTACCCTCCAGGAGCTCCTGGTAAAATGGGGAAGCATTGTCTGCTCAGGCTAAGCAAGTAGGGAGGCCACACAGTTCCCAGAACTCCAATGTCAACGGGAGAGAAGGGTTGTGGCCATCAGTCCAAGAAGTGGGCAGGGCTGGGGGTGGGAGTACAGAGGATTGGGGTGTCTGGAAGTGGGAAGAGTAGGACCAGAGTGTTAACCTCTGCAAAGCACAGGTGGGAAAAGCAAAGGGCCCACTTGGCCCACTGAAAGTCTGACCCTCACAGTGGCCTCTCCCAGGGAATTACATACAGTGAAGGCTGGTGTCTGAGAAGGGAGGAGGTGTCAGGTGCCAATCCCACAGCCTTGAATGTCCGTCCTTCTTCCTTCTCCCTCCTGCTTCTGGCAGGGGCTACAGTGGTGCTGAAGTCCAAGTTCTCAGCTGGTCAGTTCTGGGAGGACTGCCAGCAGCACAATGTGACGGTGTTCCAGTACATCGGGGAGTTGTGCCGGTACCTTGTCAACCAGCCCCCGGTGCGTGGGCACAGCTCTGGGGCAGAGGCAGGAGGATGGGTCACAGGGAGCAAGACAGTTTGCAGAAGACAGAGCCCATCCTGGGGGTTGGAGGGAAGAGGAAGCTGGAAGAAGGAAATGGCAGGATGGGATGAGGGGCCTGAGATGCAGGGGGGCATCTGATGTGGGGACATCTGCAGGTGACACTGGGAGGGGGCGATAGGGATAAGGTACAGCACTTTATTTTGTAAAGTTGGCACCTTGGTGCTGAAGTTCTGTCCCTCCTCCCTCCTCTCAGAGCAAGGCAGAGCATGACCATAAAGTCCGGCTGGCAGTGGGCAGTGGGCTACGTCCAGACACCTGGGAGCGTTTTGTGCGGCGCTTTGGGCCCCTACAAGTGCTGGAAACATATGGAATGACAGAGGGAAATGTAGCCACTTTCAACTACACAGGACAGCAGGGTGCGGTAGGACGCGCCTCGTGGCTTTACAAGGTGAGAGGCAGGGACGAAAGTGAGAGAAGCTGTGGAGCAGTGGGAAGCTGGGGGTGCCGGGCTCTTGCCAACTGACATGACCCAGTCTTGGATCTCCCTTCCCCTAGCGCCTGTTCCCCTTCTCTTTGATTCGCTATGATGTCACCACAGGGGAGCCGGTTCGGGATGCCCAGGGGCGCTGTGTGGCCACATCTCCCGGTTGGTGCTTAGGTGGGGTAGATGGGGGGGTAGTGAAGCTGGTAGAAGAGGATTGGGATTGAGGGGTAAGGGAATGTGGGGGAGAGGAGGCTCTGGGCAAGGCGGGCAGCCACCCCTGACCCCAGCAACTCTGCCAGGTGAGCCAGGGCTGCTAGTGGCTCCCGTTAGCCAGCAGACCCCATTCCTGGGCTATGCCGGGGGCCCAGAGTTGACCCGGGGAAAGCTGCTGGAGAATGTCTTCCGACCTGGGGATGTTTTCTTCAACACTGGGGACTTGTTGGTGTGTGACGACCAAGGCTTCCTTCGCTTCCACGACCGTACTGGAGATACCTTCAGGTATCTGTCCAGGACTTCCTGGTTTTTAGTCCTTGACATCTGATCTCTGGGACCTCACCCACAAAACTTCAACTCACTAAGCTCCCACCTCAACCCACTCTAACTAATCTGCCATTCTCAGATTTCCTAAGCCTTTAGACTCTGAGACAGCCTGGCACTCTGCCCTCTGACCTCCCCTCCTCCCCCAAGCTCATAAGGCCCTGACCCCTGGCTCACACTTTTGAATCTCTGCTCTCTGGCAGATGGAAGGGGGAAAATGTGGCCACAACCGAGGTGGCTGAGGTCTTAGAAGCCCTGGATTTTCTTCAGGAGGTGAACGTCTATGGGGTCACTGTGCCAGGTGCCTAAGGCATGGGAGGGGATGGAGGCACCCAACTCAGGGAGCATGAGAGCTTCATGGTCAATCGTGGGGTGGCTCACCCTGCCTTCTACATCTACCAGGACACGAAGGAAGGGCTGGAATGGCAGCCCTGGTGCTGCGTCCCCCCCACTCTCTGGACCTTGTGCAGCTCTATACCCACATTTCTGAGAACTTGCCACCTTATGCCCGGCCTCGATTCCTAAGACTCCAGGTAAATCAGCCTCTCACCTCTGCATTGCATACAGCCTCAACACAGCACTCAAACTCCCCAAGGGCCCCACATAACACACTCTCTGACACCTGCTTCTCACCCCTCCTTTCTCTGTATCCCTTCCGTCTCCATGTCTGGCTCTTCTCCTCCCTGTCCCCTCAACCTGGGCCTCATATCCCCTCACCCTTTGTGTCCAACTAGTCATCTGACAGAGACTGAGCCTGGATGGGCACAAAGGGCAGAATCCCTCTCTCCTTCTCCCCAGGAATCTCTGGCCACCACAGAGACTTTCAAACAGCAAAAGGTCCGGATGGCAAATGAGGGCTTTAACCCAAGCTCACTGTCCGACCCACTCTACGTTCTGGACCCAGCTGCGGGTGCCTATCTGTCTCTCACACCTGCCCGGCACAGTGCCCTCCTGGCTGGGGACCTTCGCATCTGAGAGCCCCTCATGTAGGGTCAGGGACATTGCAGGTATCTAGGGATCTTTTCTATGTTGAATTTGTAACTGATATTTTGTAATAAATGGAACCAGAGCCAATCTGGCTCTGTCATTCTGATCTAATGTGTTCGTCTTGTAACTGCTTTTCCTTCTGAAGTTCTCTCCTGGCAGCGAGTCACAGACTCCTACATTCTGGGCTTGACTGCATGTGAGCCCCAGTGCCGTAACTTCCTCTCAGGTGACTCCATCTGACCCCTGACCTCAGAAACCCTGATGTCTGTCTGGGCATGTGTATCTTATCCAAGTTTGACTCCTTAGTGTGGGGCCATTGTTGCCCGGTCTGGGGAGCTGGGCTGGGATCTGCCTCTGAGGACCCAAGTGGTTGTCTCAAATGGCTGAGATGGACAGAGACACACAGAATCGCTGCCCTCTGTGGCCAACACTACTCCCAGAATCAAGTGTGGTCAAGAACCTTGAGTAGGCAAAACACATTTGATTTTGGGGGAAAAGGTGTTCTGGACCCTCTACCCGCCTCACTGCTCTCTAATAAGCCAGTCAGGGAAGTGAGGCTACTTGTTCCAAAATCTTAGTCAAACATTTTCAGAAGTAGCAGTCTGAGTGGGAAAGTCTGAAGCTTCTCTTTGGAGTAAGACTTAAAAGTATATGTGGAGGGGTGTAGCAACAGGAGGGATGGTGAGAAACAAACAAAAAACCTCTCCTGGATGAGAATTCAAAAAGATTCACCACATCAAACTTGAAATCATGAAATTGCCTGTTTCTCCCTCTTAAGGACCAAAGTTCCCCATATATTTTGAGCTATGGGTCCCTCAAAATATTCTGCTACTTTTCCTTGGTTTACCTTTCCTCTTCTAAACCTTCTCCCTAACGTGGGAGGTGAACAGACATACCCCACCGCCAACTTAAGATACATATTGTTCACTGCCCTGTTCCTTAAGGCAAAAACATACCGCCACCCTGTCCACCATAAATGGACACAGTGCAGTGTCACTCACGAGGCTAGTAGAGGTTCACCCCGGCTCAGGTATAGCTGGGTGTGTGAACAGCCTAGTCACCTCTCTAGCCTGCTCCCAGCGGTGGACTACAGTTAGGGTGTACCTGGAGACTGCGCCACTTGGCCAGCAGTGGGGCACCTCCTAAAGTTTTCTGACACTTCAACTCAGCCCAGGTTTCCCAGGGCCTAGAGCTAAGTGGCTACCTCCTTCCTTCCTCATGGATTCACACACTCCATTCTTTTCCCCATAATCCCTGTATCATTTGTTCTAAATCTGTGGCTAGTCTGAAGCAAGGTGTGCTTGTAAGTACAAAATACAGACCAGATTTCAAAGACTTACTACAAAAAAAGGTGGGAAAATTTCAATAATTGTTTTTGTTGCTGGGGAGCCCTCAAAATTATTGCCCTGAGATCATCTTTAAACCAGGAGCTCTGGTGGTACAATGTTGAAACGCATGGCTTCCTAATCCATAGGTTGGTGGTTCGAACCCACCAGCAGCTCCTCAGGAAAAAGATCTGGAGATTTGTTCCCATAAGGATTACAGTTTAGGAAATCCTATGAAAACAATTCTCCCTGTCCTATAGGGTCATTAGGAGTTGGAAGTGACTTAACAGCACACAACAGCAAGGATCTTTAAATCTTAAACCAAAAATATCCTCTGAAGTCTTTAAACCAAACAAAAGCTTAGCTCAATTAGCAATGTCTGCTTTGAGCATCATGCTTTAAAAGAACTATATATCAGATTAACAACTTGAAAGATTAGCTAGGATGCTTAGGAGGGCAGTGAGTTTTTGCTAATGGAAGAAGAAGAAAACAGAAAAGGAGGGTGAGAATGGTTGTATGTAATTCCTATCACAGAACTGTAATATAGAATTGTTGAATTAGTGATGCTATATGTTATTTTTCAACAATAAAACATTATTTTAAAGTAATAGTTTATATTTTTTACATGTTGTAGCACTGGGATGTAGTGCATAAAAATCAATTTCACTTGTTTCTTTTTAACTTTTTTAATTAACTAGAAAATATAGAATTACAAAAGAGGCTCCCATCATATTTCTACTGAACAACACTGGTCTAAAGCCTGACCCTGTCCTCATGCCTCACTCTGCAAGCCTACAGATGCCATGTGGAGTAGGCCAGTTGTACCTGTACAAGTAAAGCTCTTGAGTAACTGCTTAGCAATGTCAGCTGGGAGAAGGGATAGGCCCAGTGGGTGACTGGGACTGAATCCTATGTTCAGCCTGTGGTTCTGCTCCTTGAATCACCTTCATAGAAGTTATAACTAGTGACAGAAATGAGAAGCTGCAAGAGGACAGGCTTTTGATCCAAAATTTAATTAGGATTTCCCACAATAAATTAACTGAAATAAAATACTCAGAATTATGAAATAATTTTCAAAGGTGAAACAATTGTATTGGTTCTCAGATGATGCTATAGATTAAATTATGTCCCCTCAAAATATATAAGGAAAACCATTATGGCCCCATGTTGATGGTCTCCCTCATCCGAATGACTTGTTTCATCTTTGTTCAGTTTAAGACTTAATAAACAAGTCTATTATATATTGGGACTCCTGATGTGACTCTGTAACATCAGCTCAGAGCTGCAAACTACAAGGTCAGCAGTTCAAACCTGTCAACTGCTCCTTAGAAACCCTGTAAAGGGTCACTGTGAGTAGAAACTGATTCAGTGCCACTTAACAACAGTGTATATTGACATTCTAAGTGCTGCACAAGACCTTTTTAAAGTGTTGAAGAGCAAAGATGTCAGTTTGAGGACTAAGGGGCACCTGACCCAAGCCATGGTATTTTCAATAACCTCATATGTATGCGAAAGCTGGACAGTGAATAAGGAAGACCATAGAAGAATTGATGCTTTTGAGTTAAGGTGCTGGAGGAGAATATGGAAAATACCATGGGCTGCCAGAAGAACAAAGAGATCTGTGTTGGAAGAAGTGCAGCCAGAGTGCTCCTGGCCAAACTTCGTCTCTCATACTTTGGACATATTGACAGGAGGGACCAGTCGCTAAAGAAGGATATCATGTTTGGTAAGGTGGAGAGTCAGAGAAAAAGAGGAAGACCCCCAACAAGATGGATTGGCAAAGTGGCAGCATCTATGGGCTCAAGTGTGGCAACAATTGTGAGGTTGGCCCAGGATCAGGCAGTGTTTCGTTCTGCTGTGCATAAAGTCACTATGGGTCGGTATCAACTCGATGGCACCTAACAACAAGGTGTGCCTAAATCTAATCACTTCTAAGTTGTGTCTTATAAAAAGCAGAATAAACAGACACACAGGGAGACACCACATGAGCAGAGACAGAGATGAATCTACAAGCGCAGGAATGCCAAGGAATGTACTGGACTGCAAAGTTAGTTTGAACCCCAAGATTGGCAGTTCAAGCTCACCAGCCACTCCTTGATAACCCTATGCAGGGTCGCTATGGGTCAGAACTAACTCGAAGACACTTAACAACAACAACACTAGAAACAGAGAGACAAGAACTCTCTCCTAGAATCACTGTGGACTTGGACTTGTAGCCTCTTGAACAATGAGAAAATAAATTTCTTTATAGCCACCACTGTGGTATTTGTCACAGTAGCACGAGCACACTAAACACGTGGCAGGTTCTTTTTCACAGGGGGCTGAGCAACCACTTTGGGAAGCTGGAGTGGGAGGGGCTGGACAACCTCTATCTCACCAGTCCTCAAATCATTGCAGTGGTTCCAGCTTTGTGTTGAGGTTGTCCTGTGGAAACTTTCTGGGGTATGTTATGGCCATGTGTTCTTGACAAACAGAACCTCAATGGCATGGGTGGGCAAACTTCAGTCACCTGTTTTTATACAGCCAGTAACAAGCCAAAAACTGTGTGTGTGTGTGTGTGTGTATGGAGCCCTGGTGTGGAGCTGTAAGATAAGCACTGGACTGCAAGGTCATCCAAAATGCAAGATTGGCAGTTCAAACTCACCAGCCGCTCCTTGGAAACCCTATATAGGAATTTAATAACAAATATATACATGTTTTTTTCTTGTAATTTCTACATGTACAATTGTGACATTGGTTATTTCCTCAAGTTATGCAACCCTTCTCACCCACATTTACTGCCTTGATCCTCCTTCATTAATGTCAACTGAGTGTACCCTAAGTTTCCTAATTTTTCCAGTTGCTATTGTCAATTTGTTGTTGTTATGTGTCATCGAGTCGGTTCCGACCCATAGCGAGGCTTTCTACTCCCGTAAAGATTTACACCCTCGGAAACCCTGTACAGGGTCGCTATGGGTTGGAACCGACTCGACAGCACTTAACAACAACAATTGTCAATTTGATCCCACATAGTTCTTAAAAGAGCAAATGCTCAAGACATCTTTTTTCTAGTTAAGCTTAATTCTTATTCAGTTTTAAGATGACTACAAGGGATATTTTTGGTTTAAAGTTTAAGATTATCTGAGGGCAGTAGTTTCAGAGCTTCATCCATGAGTCCAGAAAGTCAAGATCTGAAATTCAGCATTTTCCACCTTTGGATCAAGATTCTAATGTTCATTAACGATAGTCGAACAACATCCAGTTCTGTTAATGACAGTTGTCCGCGGAGGCAACTGGCTACACATTCCACGTTCTCTGGTTCTGGACTCTCCTTCCTCTGCTACCCCAAGTGAACAGAGATGATTTTATATATGTAAAGGGTTGGGTTTTGTTTTGTTTTTTTAATAAAAATAACTTGACTGCAAAGTTTTTTGTGACACATAAAAATTGCTTCAGTGTCCTTATTTTACTGGAACACAGTCTCGCTCATTTTTTCACATCCGACTACTATGCTTTTGTGCCACACCCAGAGTTGAGTGGTTATGACAAGAGACCGTATGGCTCAGTGAAACACAAAATATCTACCATGTGGCACTCGACAGTGAAAGGTCGCCGACCCTGGCGGGCCCAGCAACCCCTCGTCCCTCTCTCCCCTGGGCGCCTTCACAAGCCACCAGGGAAGGA